TAAAATATGATTTTTAGATGTAAAACTATTATTAATTTATTATAATTAGAATTTATTTACATTTAACATTTATAATTTTTCTCTAATTCTTTACCTTTTGCTTCATTCTTGTTGGTTCTGTCTGACTTCGACCCAGTAAAAGTGGTTCTGAGGGAGCCTCCCCTCCTCCCCTCTCCTCTCTCCTCTGCTGAGAGTGACCTGCTGCTCGCGTCTTTTTTTTTCCCTCCTTCGTCCGCAACCTTTTTGCTGCTCAACAAATAACTTAGAGTCTCAGTCAGAAAAAACTGGAGGGTTTTTATACTTCTGGCCCGAGAGGAGGAAACAAATAGTGGATTTATGTGCCCCCACCCCCCGCATTTCCTTGTTGTGACGTGGCTCGCACCAAATCAGACAGTCTTTAAAATGTGTCGTATACTTTTTATATCTTCAGATCTACTTGGCCTAACAACACGATTTAAAAACTGATTTAAAGTTCGAAGTCTCTACTTTTCACTTGATAGTCAGAGTGGGCGGATCTTAACAAGTAATTTTTTTATTCTTCCTAAATTTTATTTAGGTCAGCCAGCATTGACAACGCTCTGTGGGTGACGTAATTGGCTCCGCGACACAGCGAGGGATGCATTAATCGCGCGACACAACAAATCCATAATGAAATTCGTTGCCAACGCAGCCCTAGTTGTTTGAATTTATACCTGAGGAAAAAGGGAGCAGATATAAGATTTTGTTCTTCTCTCTGCTTCCCTTCATTTCATTGTTTGTATTTTAATTTCTATTGTGTATAAAAAAATTTTAATGAAATGAATAAAATTTATGAATGAAATGAAAACTTCATCTGAGAAGTTTTACCTGGCAATACCATTTAACCTACTTCTAAAGATCATATACCATGACCCAAACGTGACAATTTTTATATCTCATGTTAACATCCTACAGATGTGTAGATGTTTATTTCCAGCTGCTTCGAAAACATCTTGAGAAATGCTCAACTAATTATCAATTAAGACTCAGAGCTATTTTTATCTAAACTGAGKTTGTCCATAAAGCTAGTAACAACAGGTAAGATATTGTTTAAAATCTTTAAAATGATTCTAATGAACCTAATGCAATACTGAGTGATGTCACACTCAAAACTATTTGTTGTAAATTACATCAAATCGACCATTATCTAGCCATTTTTGTATTAGTGAAAGTTGACTAGATGAGGTGGCCAACAAAAGTTAATCAATTAAAGACGCCCAATGATTCCTTTCTGTCTCGGTTAATGAGATATATTGATAACAGGAAGCACGTGGGCAAAAACGCTGTTGTCCACGTTCATCTTTAAGCAGCCAGCCATAAGAACGATAAGGCACTGTTTACAGCCTGTGCACATAGAGTTTGCATTTAGCTAGCTAATTCTGCTTTGGTAAATGCCTTTTCTGAGAAAACAATACAAAGAGTTCGAATGTTAACAGTACCAGTGTACTCAGGGAAGCAGATAGTCAGGGGGCTCTGGATGATCTTCTGCTCAAACAGGTCCTTCTTGTTGAGGAACAGGATGATGGAGGTCTCCGTGAACCACTTGTTGTTGCAGATGGAGTCAAACAGCTTCATGCTCTCGTGCATCCGGTTCTGCAGAGACGAGAAGATGATTAGAAAACACAAGCACCAGCCACCCTTGCCATTWAAAAAAATTATCTGGGCTTTATTGTAAAATGCAAATAGTTTTGTTTTTCTCTAACTCCAGCAGCAGAAAGCTCGACTCACCATCTCCTCATCCTCAGCCAAAACCAGATCATAAGCGCTCATGGCTACACAGAAGATGATGGCCGTGACCGTCTCGAAGCAGTGAATCCACTTCTTCCTTTCTGACCGCTGACCTCCAACATCAAACATCCTGCGCGCACACACACACACACACACACACACACACAC